TAGGTGGCCATCAGATCACCCCTGAGCCTGCGCTTTTCCAGGCTAAAGAGCCCCATGGCTTTCAGCCTGTCGTCATAAGGTCTGTTTTCCTGACCTCTGATCATGAGCGTGGCTCTTCTCTGACTCTCTCAAGCTTCTCCACATCCTTTTTGAATTGTGGAGCCATTTGGCTAAAAACCTGGTCCTCTGGGCATCACTGTACCTGTTATGGTACAAATAAGCAACACAGTTTAATTAAAAATGCTTTGCTTGCTGAACTCTCTTTGCAAAAAAAATAATTGTTGACTGTTCTTGATATTTCCCAGTTTTTGTGAAAATATTATCAATTTTTATGCAAATATTATCACTTTTTTCATTTCTGAAAACTTTCTTTCCAATATGATGAGTTTCAGTAAGTGAAAAGAATATTAAATACTCTGATAATAATTATGAAATTTAAGAATATATAAGAAAGAATATATAAGAACACTTTCACAACAACAGAAAGTTGAAGCCTTTTAAATCCTGAAATGTAAAAAAACAATTCTATAATGTCATTGTTTTTCCTCAAATCTTTGCCCAGTCTTTTGACAAACTGTAAAGGTCAACAACAATAGTGTAATTTTAAAGTATGATGTAGCAAAGTAAAAAAAAATGCAAAATCCTTCATTGTTTGAATCACATACACATCTACTTAAAGTAACATTTTATAATAAAGAAATTGTCATTGCTTTAGAAATTAGGAGATGTGTCTTCATCCATCCAAACTACTTACCTGGGAGGACAGTTCTATACATAAATGCAAAGTGCTGTTTTAGCCAGGGATGGTTGAAGTGGTTGATGCCAAAGTGTCTTTGGACAAGAAATATGTATTGAAAGAGAGATCTGGTGGTGTAGCTGCCGTAAGCCACTCCTTCATAGAGAGATCCATCTGTAACTTCTTGCAGCAGGACTATAGACTTCTCCATGATTGCAAGCACCTGCTTAGTCCATAAGTATGCTTCCTGCAAATAGCCTGGAAAAGAAAGATGCACATAGTCCTGTCAAAACTTTATAGCATGCTATAAGCCTCAAATATGTTTTTTTAAAATACGGGAACTCCAAGTGTGTTGTCCTTACACATAATATGTGGCCTATATCTGCTGTGTCCTTGCAATTATAGGGTGAGAATAAAACTGAGCACACATGAAGTATTACCACATATGAACATAATCACTCAAATTTAATCTTGGGAAGACAATCGAACAAGTATTCATTGTACTTGAAGAGAATACTCCCTATTCTGCTCAACCGCCTTCTGAATATTCACAGGGAAAAGCATCTCTTTCCATAACAGAACAATTTTATTGCCTTTAAAATTAAAGCACTAACAGTAAAAACAAATTTAGTGTTTCCACTAGAGGGCTTCAGTAATGTAAAAATACATTGATGGATGCCTTACTGATATGAATAACAAAGAAAAACTTTAAAGTTAAACATTTTAAAGTATGAGTAAATGTTATTATGTAGCCAACAATTCTCCACACTACAAAAGCTTTCAGAATACTGGATGGTATAGAGGCTTGCCAACACGGAAACTTATTCTGAAATAGTTATCCTAATAATTGCCCAGGTGGGGCATATTTATTCCAACATAAGAGTGCCTTATTCCAAATTAATCCAACTGGATTAAATTCATGCATACTACCTGTGTCATTAAGGCGATGTGATAAACTCTGGCACAGTTTCTGTCTAAGTGAGCTGCTCCCAGCCACAGTGTTTGCACATGCACCAAGAAATGGAGCAGTTTGAGCCAGGGCAGAGCAGTTGCAGGCTGACAGGGGACCTGGGGATCAATTCTGGGTTCTGGGTGGCAGCATCAGGGAGTGGAGAGGCTGGCTTGAGCACAAGGGTGCTATAGTGCAGGGCTAGGTGGAAGGCAGCCCTTGCAATTTAGCAACCTCATGCCCCAGTCAGCCCATCACTGTCTACATGGGCATTTCAGTGCACATAATTACTCCGCCCTAGAGTTAATTAATTTACTGCACCCTAATACCAACATGCATATAGACAATGACGCTTTACGGCAGAGCTAATTAGTCAACTCCAAAGTAAAGTGCATGTGTAGATGCACTCAGTGTAGATACACTATCTTACAGTGCACATATAGATACACTACCTTATGGTGCAGTAAGTAACTGCACTGAAATGCATGTGTAGACAGTAACATGGGCTGACTGGCATACAAGGGTGCTAAAGTGTGGGGCGTATCTACCAGGTAGCCACATGGCTAGCTAGCTACATGGCTCTGTACCCTTGTGCCCCAGCCAGCCCCTTTGCCACCTGATGCCACCACCAGAGCCTGGGGCTGACTCCCCTGCCAGCTTAGGGCTGCTCCATCCCAGGTCAATTTGCTGCTGTCCCAGGCACACACACAGACGCCACTCCTGGGAGCAGCTGACTCTGGCTCGAATTGGCCTAGAATTTATTGCTTCGTATTAATGTCACGTGTAGATGCACCCATTATATCTTGGTCTAAATTAACTAACTCTTGAAATAATCTCCAATATGTACAGTTTTCTTATAAAGGAAAGATGACCAGTCATCTTATCACTTCAGCCAAAATGTGTATCCAGGCACAAATATGGGAAGATTAAGAGTGGCAGTAATACATTTTCTTGTGGAAGCAGGCTCTAGACATTCATTCAATAGAGCATCCCCCAGCTTAGTTCAGCTGATGAAATCAGCTAGCACGCTGATACCCAGAAGAGGTATACTGGCAACTTCTGCTGAGTGAACTTCCCTGTGGCAGTCTAAGACATAAAATGTTTCTGCTCTTATTATGAACTATGACTTAATGGCCACAATAAAAATATTTGGTAGTTAGTGTGTCTTTAGCATTTTCAACTTTTATCCTTACTCATCACTGTGCATATTACACCAAAGTGAACTATCTGTGACATAATTCAGTACAGTGTATTTATTGCCTTGAAGTATACGGTAGTAGATGGTTTTTTCATTTAGTCTACCAACCATGCCACATCATCAATCTTTAATCTGTTACATATTAATGTATGATGAAGTACAGATAGGAGTCATTAAGAAAATGGGGGACTGTGGTGTCGACACCCACACCGTCAAATGGGTCGCCAGCTGGCTGGAGGGCTGCACCCAGAGAGTGGTGGTGGATGGTCCTTCTCAACCTGGAAGGATGTGGGCAGTGGGGTTCCGCAGGGCTCGGTCCTCGGGCCCGCACTGTTCAACATCTTCATCAGTGACTTGGATGAGGGGGTAAAAAGCACCCTGTTCAAATTTGCTGATGACACTAAGATGTGGGGGGATGTGGGCACGCTAGAAGGAAGCAATAGGCTGCAATCGGACCTAAACAGGTTACAAGGGTGGGCGGAGGAGAATAGGATGGGGTTCAACACAGACAAGTGCAAAGTGATGCACCTGGGGAGGAACAACCGGCACCATACCTACAGGTT